CTGTGTTTAGACTAATGCTTCAAGGCGTCACCTGCTTACATAGCCGAGATACCGGGTGCTCATATTATAAGGCAAGGTTATAAAACCAACTTTTAAGATCATTTTAGTGAAAGTTTCATCCTTCAAGGCGTACCATTCTCTGCTCAAATACTAAATAACATGCTTCCATTGAAGATATAAAGGGGGTTCATATTATAAGGTAAGGTTATAAAACCACCTTTTAAGATCATTTTAGTGAAAGTTTCATGTTCCTATCTCATAGATTTTAAGAACAATGATGAATAAATCATTTTCGAGCAAAATTTAAATGGCCGGCTGAATATATTACCGCCGGAGACGCGGCCGCGGAATTTAAATGACTGCGCCAAAGGGTTAAACTTGCTTGAACTCAAAATAAGGAAATTTAGTTTTAGTATGCAGTGGAACCTCGCTTAACGAGCACCTCTCATAACGAGTAATTCACATAATGAGCAAAACAAATTGTAAAAATATGACTCGCTTAACGAGCGATGTTTCGTGTAACGAGTGACGAGAAGGGAAGTCCTGGATTGTGCGCTTGCTACATCAGTCTGTGTTTAGCGCTCGTTCCGCTAGCATCTTAGTGTCGCTTGTGGTCACACATTTTTCCAAACTTGTGTTCAGACATATTATTTGTGATTTTTTTTTGGTGCAAAGTTTAATACCCTTGCAAAAATGTCCGCGAAGAAAAAGCCGCAAAACGACAGCCACAGGAGAATAAAAATAACCGTAGAAATGAAATGTAAAATCATTGAAAAGCAAGAACGAGGTGCGAGCGTGGCTGATCTAGCATGCACATACAATCGGTCTACATCAACGATTTGCACGATTTGGTCATTGCGTAGGAATCGCGGAACCAACAAAGCAACGTTTCCACTGCTATAACAGAGGATTCATTTGCATAGCAGCGGCCATGGTGATAAATAGCCCAGCTTCGGCGAGAAGCAGTCAGTCTCTATCCAGCCGTCTAAGAAGAGAGTCTTTATCCAGCCGTCTAAGAAGTCAGTCTTTGTCCAGCCGTCTTAGAAGCGAGACTTGGAACGTCCGCCGCAGAAGACAGTTGAAGTGTTACAGCGAATAGTAATTGTGCTCATGGTTGTAGAAAGAAAGTGTCCAATAAAGGGTTCTTCGGAATTTGAGACCCACATGAATTTATTTGTAGCATGACACGCTAAACATGCTACATTTTTTTTTTTGTTTTCTGCAAATCGAATTTGCATTCCAGGTTGGTTCATTCCGCATAGAAGAAAAGATGAAGATGATTCACGCTCCTTAACACTGTATATATAATTTTCTTTGAATAAACGTAATGTGTAAAATTTTTTGAGTATTTTTTTTGGCATGGAACACATCGTATTTTACATTAATTTATATGGGAAAAATTGTTTCGCTTAACGTGTGTTTCGCATTACGAGTAAGATTCTGGAACGAATTATGCTCGTTAAGCTAGGTTCCACTGTATATGAAAGTGGTTAACTTTGATCTCTTAAATTTTGGGATGTTTGAGTAATTATTTTGCATTATCTCTTTAAGGATTTTCAGAGGAACTTGTATTATTTTATATTGTTTTATTACCCTTATAGAGCATATCGTTTGTATTCACAGTGACTGTTTAACATATCTGTACCTTTTGTATTTGCACATAAAAGAAATTCATATTATGTTAGATATGAAGCTTCCACAGTAAATGACCCTGGTGATGGAGATAGAGCAGGTCTCCAGAACTTTGGTTTTTATCGCAACATTGATGTATCTGCCTGAGATGATTTTAATGCAAAATAGAACATAGTTTTTGGTCATAGTGAGTATGTATTCAGTATGTTTTATTTGCTTTATCAGGTTATTGAACGTATGGCAAACAACCTAGAGGTTGCTGGTCGCCAGCGAACTCAGATGAATGGACGAGGTGCCCGATTGCGCAGTGCCTTGGAGTTACTTAATCTTGTAAATCCTACAGACATGAACTGTATTTTGCATCTAGCAAGATTCTACATGTTGTACAACATGGATTTATCAGATCTAATGTCCAGTATTATCAAACTGCAGCATGTAAGGATGGAAAATATTATAGATTATTGCCTGAAGCCTAATTAGGGTTTTCTCTTTAGCTAGAAAAGAAACAGCAAAATTTTGTTACTGTAAATAATTTCTAATATTGCTTTTTAAACTGTTTGATTTGTAAAAATGGAGGTATGTTCAACTCTGAATTGAACCTGTAACAATTCAGTATTTGCTGTTAATCATCAGTGATCTTGTTGGACTTCAGGTTCTCACACTGGTGATCTTGAAGAGTTCTGTCTTCTGGGGTACAGCACTGGCTGACTTTCGCTAGACTGTATGGTGTTTTATCCCAGAAGTTAGAACTCATCAGCAATTTTGTTACCTGAACCTACTCATTAAAGAAATATGAAGAGCTGACATAATTAGGCTAAAATGTGTACTGTGCATTGTAGCTAGACATGAAGATAAGGTAAAGGTAGAGTTGTCTTCTGTGTAAGTAAGATACATGACATAAAGACATGGGAGGTGGAGGTATGGCTCCATACATTCTTAATCTCCACTAACTAGAGGTTCAACTGCACACACTGGCTCTCCTGGTACCCATTAAATAGTGAGTCTGGACACAGTGGGGAAGAGAAAAATCTCTGCCTCCACCATGAATAAAACCCTGATTTTCCAGCTGTCCAGCCTGTAATCTGGTTGCTGCACCTACCACCTCTCAGGTGTGGAAGGGTTTCAACAAACATATCAGCCCATTTGGAAAGGCCATGGACCCTTCGGCTCAACAGAATATTGACCACCTTGCAAGGATATGTTCTCATTGTGTATTGTGTAAGAAAGTAAGTTACACATTTGGAAGCTTATGCTCCTTGTTACACTTGAGAGCATTCTCTCTTCAAGCTTTGTTGTACAAACTAATTTCACATTGTAAACACTCAAGAGCTTTGCCTGTCATCAGCAGGCTCAGATGAATGGAAGGGGTGCGTGATTTCAGATTGCCTTGGGGTTCCTTTATCTTGACGGCTGTTATAGTGGCATATTTTCTCAAAACAGAACTGTGGAGCCAGAGAAACAGCCATTACTGGTGAACGGCTCTGAAACAACATTCGTTTCTAAGCAACGACTTAGTAATCACGTTTCCACAGCGGCAGATATGAATGAAACAGTAGAGGTACTGTTGGAAACCGTTTTCCACTCAGGCTATGCAAGGGGGTTATAAGGAAGACAACTGGCGCAACCAAGTCAGTTCTGTATGTGTGGTTGTGAAGGAAAGGGACAGTTGGAAGGGAGCCGCCATTCACAGAGGACTTGAGCGCGGAAGCTGAAGAATCTCCACTGTTAGAAGCCATTAACAGGAAACAACTGGGAAAACACAACAGGCTGGAAAAGACTTTAGTGGTTGCTGTGGTGTTTTGTGAATCGTGGAGATTAGTGGTGGCAATGTAATTGCTTGTAGTTTTAATATGTATGTGTATGTGGTCAGTAAATCCAATAGCCAGTCCAAACCCTGTCTGTAGTCACTCCATACTGCATGACAGTACTTTGCTTCATTTACTAATTGTGATAATCAGGTTCCAGATTTTGATGATATGTCATCTTTCTTTCCTTGTATCCTAGTAGATGCCTGTAAATATATAAATCCCCGAAATGAGCTGCTGGTTACAGAAATGTAACTTTTATAGGTCTTTTTTTTTGTCATTTTTCATCATTTTTTAGTTTTTAGGTCATTTATTCAGTTTGGGGGTAATTTTTCGGTATTTTTTCTTTTTACTTTTAAGGGTATTTTTTTGTCATTTCAGCCGTTTTAGGGAATTTTTCTTCATATGTTTTCAGAAATGTGCATAATGTGCAAGTAAAGTGTTCTTTCTCTTTCTCCTGCCTGTACAAAGGCAGCCTGCAGCTACACCCCAAATGCATGCTACCACAGTATGCAATAATAAGTTGTAATCCTGTTCTGTCCTTTCTGTTCATTTTGCAGAAAGTGCTGACATTACATATCATAAAAAATTTCAGTTGGCAGCAGGGTATGACAGCGGTCACTCACACTACAGCCCCTTTTCAATTTCTGTGGAAAGGAATTTGCTTAGTTATAAATATTTATAGTCAGAATCCCTTGCTTTTATGACATATTGTTGCTCAACAAAACTCCATCTGTTTTCAATTTCTCACCCTTACCGTACAGACAAAGATACAGTTGATGAAAATTTCTCAGTGAGAAAAAGAGTGATTCATTTTATCATAATGCCTAAAGCAAAGCCATCTAAATCATGTCATTTAAAGCAGTTTGTAACTGAATTTGGAGATGATATATTTTCAACCGACGGTAACATTTTATACTGTAAGATCTGTGACACAAAGTTAGCAGCAGAAAAATGTTCCATGGTACAACAACATATCGGCTGCAACAAGCATATACGAGCAGTGCAAATTTCAAACAAAAAGAAATCTGTGCAAATGTTACTACAACAATGTTCATCTGAAGTCAACAGATTTTTTCGCAGATCTGTGTGATGATCTGGTGTCCACAAATATTCCGTTTTGGGCTCTGAACAATGAAAAGCTGAAAAATTTTCTGGAAGTGAATTGTGGTCATTCCATCTTGGATGAATCCACCCTCAGGAAAAACTACCTTTCCAAGTGCTACAACAATATCCTGGAAATGATTAGGAATAAAATGCATGGGAAGAAGATTTTCGTTTCCATTGATGAGACTTGCGATACAGAGGCTTGCTACGTGGCAAACGTCATCATTGGAACCTTGGAAATTGGCGGACCAGGTGAAGTGTGTCTGCTTATGAGTGAGGTGCTAGAATCCGATAATCATTCCACAGTTTGTAAACTCTTTGACAGGTCGATGTTTCTACTGTGGCCAGAGGGTATGCGACACGACGACGTCTTGCTTTTTGTGGCTGATGCAGCCCCATATATTTTAAAAGCAGACGAGTGAATAAAGTTGTTTTATACAAAATTGGTGCATGTTACTTGCCTAGCACATACACTGCATAGAGTGACATAGGAAGTGAGATCAAGATTTCCTCAAGTGGATGCTCTTGTGTCGTGGACATAGAAGATTTTCGTCAAGGCTCCAGATCGTAAAATGCAGTTTTAAGTCTATGGCTTCTGGTGTTCCACTGCCCCCAAAACCCATCAGCACAAGGTGGGGGAACATGGATTGATGCTACAATTTATATTTGCGATCGTTGTCAGGTAGTGAAAAATATTGTAGATTCAATGAAGACAATGGCAATTGTGATGGCAGTTGATGCTGCTAAGGAACAGTTCTCATGCAGCAAAATGGAAGGACAGCTGGCCTTCATAAAGGCAAATTGCAGTTCTTTGATGGAAGGAATCAAATGCTTACAGGAGAAAGGAGCAACGCTAGAAGATTTGCTCGCTCTAAAAGTAGCCAGTGATTTGGAGAAAGTGTCAGGGGACATTGGTAATATGGTGTCAAGAAAAATGAAAATTGTTGTAGATAAAAATGCAGGTTATGAAACATTATGCAGCATTTCTTGAATTCTGACAGGAGAGTCCTTCAGCACTTTCAGTATTGAAGAACTTACTGCTAGTGATTTGGTACACTTCAAGTATGCTCCCATTGTGTCTGCAGATGTGGAAAGCAGTTTCTCCAAGTACAAGAATGTGCTGTCGGACAATAGGCATTCACTCATCTTCGAGAATCTCCGCATGTTGACTGTCATCTATTGCAACTCTGAATGCAGCCTATAAGATAACATGTTGAAAGTGGCAGTGATTGAGATTAGCTCTTTCTGAGGGGCCAACTGAGTAGGTGTCTTCCTTTCTCACCTGAAGACAGAAACAGGTCCAATTTCCAAAACATCGTGTCCTCTGTTACCTAGAATTCTGGACGATGGAAAAAGTCCAAAAACCCAGTAATTCTATGTGTCATCCACTATCATCAGAACTCTTTAGAATCTACATATTTGAGGCTTCTGAAGACTAAGATACCCATTGAGATGGAGCCATACGCCTTCTCTTCAGCATCAGTAGTTGTGTTCTCTGGGAACCATTAACCCTTCCGCGACGGATAGTATTTAAATCATTTCCTACCGCCAAACCGACGGGGTATTTAATTATTAAACAGAAAAATGCACTTATCCATGAAAAATTTAGTAACTCTCGCAAAAATTGGTATATTGAGATAAAATTTTCACAGAAATATTCATAAAGAAACGAAGAACAAAACTATATATATATTTTTCAATATAATTATGATAAATAATATTTTTTTACTCACTCGAACTGCTAAAAGTTGAGTTTGGTGTGGTAATCCTGAAAACACTGGTCAATACATAGCCCAACATCACAATCACTGCACCAGTACACGGTTTCTTTTCTTCTTTTGTTTTTTGTACACACTACACATCGCCTTTGTGGTCTAGCCTTTTTTCCTGATGGGGGAATTTTACTAATAAAATGTCTTTCACGAAGCCGGGGGATGGTGTTATCTGATGAATGACGTCGACCTTGTACTCTACGTGCTGCCTGCTCCTGGTCCGTAAACTTCAACAGCAACCCTTCTACCAGATTTACTCTGAATGCTAAGTGGTCTGTCAGTCTTTCCTGATTCTTGTTATAAATTATCATGGCATTTACCACTGTCGCATTCAAAAGGCGTCTGAAGAGTTTCATGTACCACTTATGAAGTCTTTTTCTTTCCACGTTGTAGTACTGTAAAAGCTGATCTTTCAAATCAACGCCACCCATCATTTCATTATAATCAATTATAATTTTTGGTTTTTTTATTTCTTTGTTTCTCTTTATATCTGTCTGTGTGTCGGCATTGTGAAATGTAGAGATCACGGAAACTGGTTTTTTGTCTTGCCACTTGAGAACAGTTATAGGACCTGCGTGCTGAGCTATGATCTCGCCCTTTCTCAACTTTGTGTTTTTTACAGTTGTTGGGACACCCTTTCTGTTCAACCTAAGGGTCCCAACACAGTCAGTGCCATGATTTTTTAATAATTTTGCTAACTGGGGGGAATTGTAATAATTATCCATCCATAGAGTATGACCTCTATGGAGGAGCGGTTCGACCAAATGTAGAACAACAGATGTTGTTTTATTGGTATTTTCTCTGATCAGTGAAGAATTTAGTTGGGTTTCGCTGCCAGTGTAAACAATAAATGACCATAAATACCCAGATTTGGAATCACAGAGTTCATAAGTTTTTATGCCGAATTTTGAAGCTTTCAGTGGCAAGTACATTTTGAATGCCAATCTCCCTTTCCATAGTGTAAGCGATTCATCAATACAAATATTTTGTCCAGGATAGAAGAGTGTCTGAAATTTTTCGTTGAGATGTTGAATGACAGGAAAAATTTTGAAAAGTCTTGTAGGTCCTAGGTAATTATCTTTCTTAGTATTGTCATTGAAATGGAGAAATTTACATATAAGCTGGAATCTGTCTCTCGAAATTACATCAGGAAATGCTGGAGTGTATAGTAATCTTTTCGTTGAAAAGTATGAATTTAGAGTTGGCTTATTGACTATACCCATCAGCAAGAACAAGGCTAAGACCACATACATTTCATTTAGTGTCACTGGTACCCACTGCCTAGCTGGAGATCTAAATGGAAAAACCCTCCCACATATAAATTGTTGCGCATAAGTGTTTGTTTCCTGAACGATATTGTTCACAAAATCCTCAGTAAAAAATAATAGAAATGTCTGTACTATATCGAGCACATTGACAGACTGATTTCTCGGGCCTGAATTTTCAGAAAACCGTTCGCGAACGCCATCATAATTATCCATATTTTGCCAAAAATAACTCTCGTCTGAATCCGCCACTGGAACCCTCGCCACTATTTCGTCGTCATCTTCAATACTAAGATCTTGGATAGCATCAACTACAGCCTGATCTTCAATTTCATTATCACTGTTTTCACTACTATCCGAATATTCGAACTCACTAACTTCCGAGTCGTGAGCAAGGAACTCTTCTAGTTCATCGCCCTGTAAAACTTTCCTACTTGTAGAGGCCATGGTTATGGCGCGACTGAGAGAAGAAAGTGTTATGACATCATAGATTTCTGTATCATTCGTAAGTTTATTTTCTTAGGTTGCATTTGGTTCCAAGAAAAAAGGACCCTCTTGTTTGACTACTTCATTGTGTCAGCAGACTGTACAGCAACCCATTCAAGGAAAACCTTCGTCTGGGGTTTCAGTGAGTGACTCATATAGACAAGCAAAGACCATAGAGTCGAAAGATATATAGTTTTATACATTTTCCTTACTTAGAATTTGAAAAATTTCAATGAAATCTAGGCGCAGTGAGACAAAAGTACGAACTATTACACTAACGATACAAAATAAAAATACCGTGCTAAAAATTCGTCCAAAATAAATAACTCCTATACCAATAGAAAGATGAAACCCTAATCTATGTACTCCTGAAAAGAAAATTGGAATATCTTTCCTCGTTTTGTTAGCAACGTCCTTCAAAGCTAACACTGCGCAGGTCGGTGAACTGCACAGATGTCGGTGGCATACGATTATTTAAAGGGTCGGTGCAGTACACGGATGTCGGTGCGGAAGGGTTAACATACTGCTGTGTCAGCAACTCATGCATAGCATTTATTGTGTTATATGTGCACTGTTTCTTGAAATACATTATGAGGACAGCCAACTGACATTCCAGTCTGGTTTGAGATCTGTCTGTGGATTTCTTTATCATTGAAGCATGAATGCCCATGAGCTTCTGGTCTCCAGCATTTGTGTGAGTCTGAGATACTACCAGTTTTCACTGAATGTTGTTGAGTGGTTAGTGCTTTGCTTCATACTCAGGAGATCCCAGATTCAAATCTCAGACTGAAGACTGGCTATCCTGATGGAGGCTGACATAGCATCTCAGATTAAGCTGCTTCCTTCCACACTCTTTCCAGTTAATTGTTCACTAATCATTTTATCATTTGACTCTATTATCCAAGCTATTGAATGAAAGTGTTGTTAAATAAACCAGAAAGAAAGAAATAAAACTTCAGTTTTCATAAAATTGCTGTATAGGCATTTGATAGTAGACTTGTTCTGAAGAATATTGTCACAACTTATGGGATGTGGCTATAGACAAGGTGTGGATTGGATGCTGAATTTAGTGACCACTTGTATACACCACTTTGAACTACATTTTACAGATCACTGACACACACAGACTATTGTTCTCAGTCTGTTACGGTCTCCACAAGTCATTTCCTGGCAACAGATTTAACACGGTGAAGATTCTTAAGCTCCCCACACTCAGATCCTCATGTCATAGTGGCCCATGCAGAATTCTTATCAACTGACAACTCAACTAACTGGTTCCCAGGCTGGCAACCATTTCACATCAACCTCACAGGCTGACTTCTAACTGACAGCCGAACTCCCACTCACCAATCACGTACTTTATGTCACTTCTCCCAATTGAAATGCTGACAGCTTCACTCTGGCACTTGACTGGTGTCCTTGTTATATAACCTCAGGGTCGATCCAATATAAAATGCCACCTCCAACAATCCTTCCTCCATTGTTGTCATTGGCAGTTACCTAGCAGTTGACTGGATATCGCTTCCATGAGAATATGCCCACTGACCATTACTTAGATGTTTGTTTATCTGCCTGTTGCATAGCAGTGGTACAGCATATTTACTCGTAGTTTCTTTACTTGAGCTTTTATAACTCTTTGAGTCCTTTTGTAATTTTTCAAACTTAATGCTTATTGAAGGTCCATGTAATAGCTCGCACATTTGGTCGCCAGTTTCCCACCGCTCCAGCCCAGATTTGATCCTGGTTTACGTCACATTTATGGTGGACATAATGGCACTGGGACAGGCTTTCTGCAAGTACAGGGCTACTATAAATGATTCATTCGTTTTTAAAACACTATATTTTCCAAAGCATTACACATACAAATATGATTGATATATAAAAAGAACCGTAAACTCACCAACTTTTCTTCACACCCTACAAATGTTCTATGTGTGCCCCTTGGGTCACACGACACATGTTCAGGCGGAAGTCGAGCTCGTTCCACACATTTTGTAGCATCATCCTGTCAGTGGTCATCACTGCAGCATCGATGCGTTCCCTCAGCTCTACTAGTGTTCTTGGCAGTGGGGGTACGTAAACACGATCCTTAATGTACCCCCAAAGGAAGAAGTCACAAGACGTTAGATCAGGTGATCTGGGGAGCCAAGTGAACAGAGCTATGTCATCCTCACCAACATGCCCAATCCAGCGTGTCCTTAAATTGCCAATACCACCGCAAAATGCTTTGTTTATATGGCGGTTCTTTTCCGTACTCTTTTGAATGCGTGTTGCACTGCTAAAACAGACGAACATCTCGCATATTCCAACAAACAAAAACTCTTTTCTTGCTTTGTCGCCATTTTGTAAAGGCACTGAACTCGTGCTGCCAACTGGTGCACACAATACAAACTTGGTGAGTTTACAGTTCTTTTTATATATCAATCATATTTGTATGTGTAATACTTTGGAAAAATATAGCATTTTAAAAACGAATGAATCATTTATAGTAGCTCTGTACTTTGGTTCCCCATTCCAGTTTTGATTCCACCAAAATGCTACATGTTCACTGATGCTATGTGGTGACAGTACTGACAGCCTCATTAAATACCTCAAGTTAAAAAAAAAAAAGAGTGCTTGTTGATGAAGATTATACTTAATGAAATTAAACAAGAAATATTTCATCAGTGGATTGTATTGTGATATTTATGTAAGCAGTCAGAAACTATAAGCAGTGTTCTGAATATTCCTTCTTTCAAGGATTTGGAGCCACGTGCCAGGGACCAAGCAAAGCATATAATACAGATGCTGCAAGTGTATGAAAGTCATCACTCCAAGGACACTGCAGATAGCATTCGGGAGGTTCGTTTACTTGAATTCTGTTCTTAGAATATTTTGTAATTTTTAGGCATTTCCTTATAGCTTGTATGGTCACTGTGTTGTCCAGTCCCCCATCCCACCCCACAGCTTTTGAACCCATTGATACTTTTAGCATGAATGATATGCCATTTGAAACCACTCCATCTCTATATTGTTGATTTCCAGTATTCGTTAATAACAGTGTGCTGGGCACATTCATTTGTGAAGTGAGACCACCACATAAGAGTTCTGAAATTGGTAATATGTCTCTAAAAATATACAGCTTTCTTGAAGTTGTGTGTGGTAGAATATAGAGCAACAAATATGAAATAAGGAATAATAGTAAATATTCATAAACTATATATTTTGACTGTGTGAATTTTTGTTTGTAGCTGTAACATTCTTAAATTTATGTGGGAATATATTCCTTGCTTGTCTCTTGGGTATAATGCATGAACACTCACTTCAGTATGTAAGTCATATTATTTAAGCCGTGGAAGTGACACGACTGATTGAATGTTTAATATGGTAGCAGGGGATTGTAGGCAACACATGTAACACATTGCTCTATGGTAGCTCTTCAGAGATATATTTGGGTGATATTAGAGACAGATTTCAGTGTGTATAGGTTACTGGGCTGTTGACTGTACCACAAGTCCAGAAAATGCAGTGCAAGATGATGCAAATACAGGGTGAGCCAGACTCAATTAGGCAGTTTTTGATTACGTGTTATTTTTATTGATAAATGTTAACAATTTCCAATGGTTACAAAAATGGAATCGCACACACATAAGTCATCGATTTTCAAGATGCTGGTCAACCTGGGCACCACCTAAGTCAACACAGGCTTGCAGACGCAAAGCAACATTTTCGCAAACCTTTCTCCACATATTCACCGGAACTTTATTGAACTCCTGAACAATCACCTCACTCAGATGTTTCACACTGTCAATGGGATTAGCGTACACTTTGTCTTTGAGGTAACCCCAAAGGATAAACTCTGGTGGGGTGATGTCGGGTGATCGGGCTGGCCACTCCACAGGCCCTCGACGGCCAATCAAGCGTTGAGGAAAAACTTGATGCAAGAATGCCCGAACAATATTGGCAAAGTGTGGTGGGGCCCCATCTTGCTGCCACCACAATTCATCAAAGTTCTCTGTCCTCTGAAGTTCTGGGATGACACTTTCCCTCGACAACTTTAGGTAGGTTTCCCCCGTGATGCAACCTTCAAGGAAGAATGGGCCAATCAGTTCTTCGTACGTCACGCCGCCCCACACCGTCACTCCCTGGGACTGGAAATCGTATTCAATGGTGGCACTGGGGTTCTCTGGCCACCAAAACACGCAGTTGTGTCTGTTGACGGATCCTAATGTGTGAAATTTGGCCTCATCAGTCCAGACAATATTCCGGATAAGGTCACGGTTCTCCTGAAACTTGGTCAGCATCAACTCGGCGAACTCAAGTCGCCTGTCGAAGTCCTCGTTAAGAACATGAATAAGCCGTGGATGGTATGGTGTCAGCTTCATGTCACTCAAAACTCTCCGCAAACTTGTCCTTGAAATGTCCAGTAGGGCCGACAAACGGCGGGTAAACTTTGATTTCTGAGGAGATGATGCCAGTTCAGCAGCAACACGTGCTTGTGTGTCAGTAGTTCGGACAGTTCTCGGCTGACCAGGATGCTTGGGATTCAAAGCACTGGCAGTTTCATCAAATTGCTTGTTTATTCAGACGATTGTGTCCCTGTGGACTGCTGGCAGTCCAAACTCTTCCAACATCCTGTGCTGGACTTCTGATACATTGTTAGTAACTGAGAAAAGGCGCACACATTTTACACGCTGCTCGATAGACAACTGTCTACCGGCCATGACGTTTCCTCGATGCGCACTAAGTAGGCAGAGTATTGACCTCGTTCACAGCATACCGTATGATGCTGCCATCTATCGACAACAAAAGGTACTTACCCATTATCCTGTGTGTTGTTGGATTGGTTAGTTATTAATGATCAAAAACTGCCTAATTGAGTCTGGCCCACCCTGTAGGATGTGCCCCTAATGTCCAGCTGGTCAAAGTTTTGCGGTGTGCTGTCAAATGACCTCTCTTTAGGACTGGATGGAAAATAGGCTTTCTGAGTTCTGTCCAGAACTACTGTTTTTCTCTGTTCTCACAGGCATCTTCTGTTTAGATTGTAACAGTGTTCAGAGAGCTACTATATCTTATTCCTTGTATGAAAACTTTTGCTGTTAAAAATTCAGTTGAATATGTAGAGCATACTGTTGAAAAGCAAAGTGCTGAGAAAAATGTTTTGACCTAAGAGCAAGGAAGCATCAGGAGGCTGAAGAAGGTTGTGTAATGAGGGGTTTTCATGATATGTACTTTTCACCAAACATTGTTTTAATGATCAGATCTCGAAGGATGAGATGGATTAAACATGTAGCATGCATGAGAGATATAATCAGTGAATGTTGAAGGTTGGAGTAATGCCTCTTGGAAGAGGTGTATATCAGTGGGAGGATAATATTGAAATGGATCTTAGAGAAGTAAGATAGGAAGGTGTGATGGGATGTTGATATAACCACGTTACTGGTGCTCTTCATTAATTGGCCTGTAAGAAGACTGGAGGAGGAATAAATGATCTTCACAATATTTTAACAAACGTGCATTTATCATTGTAGATTGAGCCAAAACTGAGAACTGAAGATGTAGCATATGCAGTGGGGATGATTATGCGGCATCGTCAGTTCAACTATATATGTGTAATTTATGGGTGGGATCCAATGTGTGCTGCTTCTGCAGACTGGATTCGACAAATGGGCGTGGAGAATTTACCATTGAAAAGTCAACAACCTTTCTATAATGTCCTCGTGGAAGATGGATCCACTCGATATGCTGCACAAGGTGAAATTAATATCATTATCAGAAAATAGCTTGAAGTAGATGTTTCCGTTGTCTGCATGCAGGGTGTTATGAATCTAATTGATCTACATTGTCCATGCAGACTTGATCTTACTGCAGTAGACACAAATCACACAAGGCTCTGACTACACCAGTGTTTCTCAGACTGTGGTCCATAGTTGGTTTCAGGGGAAAAGGTTTTATCACGTACATATCACAAATTTAAAATTTAAGATTTACTGTGTTTATCAGAAATCCATGCAAAGATAATACATTTACATTCCCACTGGTTATATTCTTAATAGTTGCTAAGAGGAATGTTATGGTATCTGAGTGGTCCACAGTTGCTGAAAGCTTGAAAAAATCCTCACCAAAAGTGTTACACAAATGTTATTTGATGGGGGAAGATACTTCATACACACTTCTTCAGTGAATTAATGTAGACATATTAAAACATGATACATTAAATGCTTGCTAATTCACTGCTAGAGAGAGAAAGATAAAATTTGCAGAGTGAAGGACCAAGATTTTATTTTCTGTGTCAAAATAGTTTTATTTCTAAATTCAGTAGCAGAATGTATTGCATTCTCAACCGTCCCATTGCCTTCATTATTGAAAGTTACATGCATGTGACACAGATGTGATTCTGATTCTTATACCATTCTTTCAGTTTAACAATAACAATGTTATGGAAATAGTACACAACAGATGACATAATACTTCTGTAGCATGTCCAGGCAATTTGTATGGGGCATGAATCTCCACCTTCACTGAGAGACATCCTTGAATGTAGTTTTCAAGTATCTTGTCTTATTCAGTCAGATTTTTAACATTATATTACTTTGAAAGCTTTGAAGATTAAAAGATCATTTTCTTAAACGTACATGAGCATGATTTTGTTCTTTGTTTTTCTCTGGCCATTATGTGAAATGCAGTATAACAAATTGACGTCAGAATATAGAAATTAAACTTGATTTATCTTCCCCAACCCTGTACTAATGAGAAGATACAGAATATGGCACATACACAAGAATTGAAGAGTTATTTAAAAATATTGTTTAATGTCTAGAATTAATGTAGTGCACTTAAAATATTAACCTTATATTCTTCAACATACCACTTATCCATATGACAGCAGCAATAAATTCTCTTGTAAGATCTTATAATGTAGCAGGAAGAATTTCTTGAATAACACAGGTAAATGTATAGTTTCATAAAGCAAAGTAGTGTCTTGTAAACCATCATGGATATCTTTTTTTCCTGAGCTTTGAAAATAGTGTATTATGAGATAATCATGCCAGGGCACTTAGTGGAGTGCTTGAAAGATTAATAACTCCCTTGATTTATGGTTAAAGAATTGACTGTAGAAAGTCATGAAGCATAGCAATCAATGAATCTGTTTTCTTTTTAATAGAAAATTTGGAAGTTGCTGATAAACCTGTGTGGGTGAATCACTTGGAGGTGGGTCGTTACTTTGAGAAGTTCTGCAAGATATATTATATTCCAAACGCAGAGAAGCAGCTGGAGTATCCACAAGATGATGAAGTGAGACTTCGATTTGGTGCTTTTGCAAAGTCAACGTGAATTTTCAGGAATTGTGCATTCACAGAGAATTCTGAAAATCGAAAGGTGATTTACATATGTTTAATAAGAAAATTAAAGGATGTTAGTCCTTTCATCCCTCAATCTCTCAGATCTAATGGTTAGAGAATGCAGACTGGATTATTTAATTATTTGCAGAAATTGGAACATGTCTTTACAGCTTATTTATGCCATGTTTAATTCTTATTCTCAGCAGAGTCTTAAATTTGTCTAAAATGTGTGCTACTGAAATTCATCTTACCCCTTTCCAGTGATGCCTTAAAATTCAATTTTGTGTCCCCTGAAATATGGCATACATCATTGTTGTACTCAGAAAGTTTTGAGAAATGGTTCCACATGATGCTTCCGTCTTCAGGGAAGTGTAAGAATTACAAGCAAGAGATGTTGTATAACGTGGAAAAACATGGGGCAATAACAAACACCCTAAAGAACTGAGTATGTATGTTTTCTGGGATATGCCAAGTAAAAGCAGAGAGTGAATCATGGGAGAGATCCAGGAATACTACCCAAGCAGCTGAATTCTTTGTTAATCCAAAATATTAATTTTCAGTACTTGTAAATGCCTTCAGTTTTCAGTTTTGTTTAGATCCAAATTAAACGGTGTCATGTGAACTAAAGTGGTCCAGTACTGAATTGAGAATGAATTTTATATTATGTGCTTGTATGTTTGTTATATTTTTTATTTCTTTTGTTCAAGAAATATGAGATGTATTGCACCAAAAATGTATTTTAATTGCAAAACATTTAAGCATCACCCAATCTTTGATATATAATTTAAAATTGGGGGAAAGGTTAGAGTGGTAGTCCATGAAACCTACATTCTGAATGTGTAAGTATTCTGTTTTATTTGTAGTTTGTTGCTTGGGACAACATTATGACTTCTCAGAATAGTGCCTCTAGTTGCACATGTAATTGGTCTGAAAAGACATAGGTACTGGTGTCACTAAATTCTGCGTTAGGATCTTTTTCCTCCAACTCTTGGAGTATATGAAATTAAATAACGAGTNAAAGCCCAGAAGACTGCTTTCTTCATAGTCACCGCCGTGAAAGCCTCAAATCTTGCATCTTTGTACTTAAGTTTCTTTGAAAAATGGCCAGAATAAATGAAATTGGATAGTTTTCCAGTGTAATATTATTACTGCTTACAAGTGTGTGCAATTTACAGGCTCGTCATTGTGATATATATCAAATTGATGGGCCATAGTAAGAAAGAAACTCAGCCTCTAACAGAAATGAGTATCAGAATCTTCCTGGGGTTAAAGGGCAGGTGGTGTGTAAGGCTGAGAACCTCACCACCATCTGTGAGCCATTTGTCTAGAATACGTGGAGACCCTATGGGTCTCCACAGCCTCTTACAGAGATAGCTTTACCTTACTTCCTTTGACCCTGAAAATAGCTGTAACATTCAGTATTAATAAAGATTGGTAATATGTTGTAGCAGTTGTTTACAGTAATTATGTAGTTTGCAGCCATCATTAGTCTACTTATATGATAATATACCACCCTTCTTTAATAAAATTGAGAAGGTCTTTCCTCTCTTTAAATAGTAATCAGAATAAAAAATGTAAAATGTACAATTTTTTGGAATTATTGTATATTAATTCCTTGATTGGCACAGTATGTCAGGGATTCCTTGTACTTTCGGGTAAGTTTATGCCATCTGTGAAGTTTCTTATAAGCTACAATGGATTTNTGCTGCTAAGAGAATTGAAGATGTATGAAATGTTATGTTTTTGCACTACATTTTCAGCAGTTTGTTTGATAAACACTCAAAGAAATTTATTGCACTTCTATGGCTGGAGTTGTTATTTTGATGATTGCAGCCAACAGACCCCTCAGACCAATTACAGAGATGAAGTTCTTGCTTCATTAGATCCCAGACTTATCCTGACAGCTCACTGCAGTGGAGTGAGTTCATTCTGTTGCACTTAGGTGAATGAAAATTGACAAGAGAAATTTCTTGTGAGCTTCGAAGAGGAAGGCCTGCATCTCCTTTTATTTTCAGAATATATGATATTGCAATGAAACCCTCTTGGCTATTGTAGCATGTGTAAGAATTCAGTTTTGATCTATCAGTGGAAGAGTTTCTAAGGGGTCTCAAATTTGATTGTTGTGCAAACAGCAGCAACATCTTTATTTTATCAATCAGATTTAATTCATATATTATATTTGATGGATTTAAAATTCCAGAATGATATATGATTATCAGTAAGAATGTAAGGCAGTCATCAGTAGGACATGAAACTAGCAAGTTTGAGTTAGCTTCCTTCAGATTTTGGACTAGGAAAATTTGTCGTGGTGCTACTCGAGAATATGCTCACATCAGACGTGAATTATAAATGTGTTGACTGTCTTTTGTGTATGTAACTATGTGTATTCAACATTTAATTAATAACTTAGATGCAGGCTTACTACCACTGATCAGTGTTTGTATGGGAGATGCAAATGTATGTGATTACTAACTTCTATACTGCTGGAACACAACTGGTAAAAGTGTTTAAGTGAATCCTCTTAATATGTGATCCTCTTGATGCCATATCTGATGCTCCTATTTTACTTGTCTCATTCTGTCCATAAACTGGAACTATTTACCTATTACATTTATGTCCCACATAAAGGACATTGGAGTCTTAGCCTGATAACAGGATGACACTTCAGAATGAAGGATACAGTTTGGTTGCAGATCAGATGGTTCACAGGGAGTGAAACAATCGTCATGCAGTGCAGCAATTGATAGTGGTTAAAGCTTTGTGCACACTACTAACATTTATATTAGAAATTATTTTAGATGTATCAGTCTTGAGCTATTAAAATACTCTGGCCAAATATGCATGCTTGACTAGAGAAATATCTTTCATTGAACGAGTGTTCTGTATATTTACTGCTAAAATTAATGTGGGTTGTGGGTACTGTTGGAATTGTTTACTATTTCCAGCCACACAGTTCAATGTTATACTTCCACTGCCCCATCATGTTCCTGCAAGTCAGTTCAAGAGTGCTGGGTCAGAATAACCCTGCTTCGCAGTTTTGCCCACCCCTGATGTAGGATCTTTGTCCTGCAGTTGATATGTATTTAGTTGGCCAAAAATTGCTACCTCTGTGGACTCCAAAATTCATTATGATGTTCATTAAAGCTTGTGGATGAATGCTATGCTAAGTGAACTTAAACTTCACAGACTGTTTCTCTAAGGTCAGTTTTATAATTTGTCTCCCATCCATGACCAGGTCTCTCCCTTCAAGTTGTATAAACAGACTTCTGTTTGCAGTCTCTCTTCCCATGCATGCTACATATCATGCCCATCTTTGGTTTAATCACCCATGGAATGTTAGCTGAAGAGAAAGAATTATGAGGCATTTGATGAAACATGTTTGTAACAATTTAAAAAGCATATAGATATTCAAACTAGTACAAGACACACAGGTATATGCACACAAAATCATGTATATTATCCACTCCAGGTTTTACATCTTCTTTACAAATTCTGTTAGATTCCTTGAAGCTCAGTAGGAATAGAAGGCCATGCTCTGTCGTAAAGTCATGCAGTCAACGTCATCAATTTTAAGTGTGTTAGCTTTGATGTTAATCTCTTCTTCCAGTTGAATTTGTGTCTTAAGCAAGTAACGTAAAGATGCTTGTGCCTGTTAACAAACAATGTTTTTACACATCACTATTATTACTATGAAATACTATAAATATAGCTGTGAAATTAGAGTTTAGCTGTAGTTGTTATATGACATGTCTCAGAATTTGGAATCATCTTAAATACGTGTAAGATTCTGACAGGTTTTTCTCTACTTAAAGGAGGATTCCATTTCACTGGTGCAGGCAATAGGCACCAATGTCAGAACTCTAAATTACTGACATAAATGCAAGCAAAACAATGCAACTGCCTACAGTAATGCCTTCTACATGATGAGAAAAATGTACATGAAGACCAGCAGAAAGTACAGAGCTTTGAAAAAAAAATAACAATATATGTTTGCCTCTGATTTTCTCCAGAATGAAAGGCAAATCTCATACTGTCATATGTATGAGGACATGCAAAAATTGTCAAATAAACACAGTTCAACAAATTACAACATATGTTATGATTTTTTCATGAGTAACATATACAGGGTGTCCCACGAGGAATGGACCAAACTTCGGGAGGGTGTTCCTTATGTTAAAGTATGCCGATATAACCCAAAACACCTATGTCCAAAGTTGAACGGTTACAGAGATAATGGCCCGAGAAAAGTGTGGTCTTCTAGCGGGTCCACGCACTATACCTGTCAGCTGTGACTGTTATCTTTTTGTCCTTGAGTGCTGTGAGTCACGCTAGCCGTAATCTCATGTGCTACTTACAGAGGCTACAGTGTATGTTGCGTCAGCGTCGTGAATGGTTAGTAAATTACGTGTGGTTGTGCGGTGTTGCTGAAATGCCTTTTGTTTTCACACGTTGAATATTGTGATATGCATTTTGTGTATGGATTTTGTGGTGGCAATGCACGTGCTGCTGTTGAAGAGTACCAAAGGCGTTTTCCTGATCGAAGGATTCCATCTCGATGTGTATTTACGCTAATTCACCAGCATTGCGTGAGACTGGTTCTCTTACGAGTGTTTCTGTGCAGTCGGAAAGGGAGGATGTACAAATGAGAAACGCACAAGAGAACGTTCTTGAGATGGTTGAGAGAAGTCTGCGTCTGTCCACTCGTAGAATGGCCTCTTGCATCGGCGTATCACATATGCAGGTGTGGCGAACTTTACATGATGAAGAGCTGTATCCTTACCATGATCAAAGGGTACAACATCTGGAACCAGGCGACCATGCTCAGCGTATGGATTTCTGCCACTGGATAAAAGCTCATCCCGAACTGTTAAGCG